TCGGGACCATCGGGGAGGCCGAACTCTCTATCCGCGAACCAGTCCTCGGGGCGGCTGACACACAGCGCGACCTGGAGTCTGTTGTTGCCGTCCGAAGAGGGGAGTTCTTCGATTTTCTTGGCCTCGGGGGCCTCTTGCCTCGGGGTCTCACCCCCCGGGTGTATCTCTTTAGGTGGCCATCTTTAATCAGGATTTCGATCGCGTCCTTGAGATGGATGCAGTCTTCAGTCACGTGCCCGTGGCTCCTGTGGAATCGGCAGTATTTCGACTTGTCCACGTTGGGTTTGGGGGGCGTCGGCCGGGGGAAACGAACACCTCCCTGGACAAATTCGGTTTTGGCGCATTCGGCCAGTATGCGCTCGCGGGAAGCGACTAAGGTCGTGTATTACGTGAATCGGCCGACAGGGCCGCGTTGTTCGCGAGGGCGATCTTCCCGACGACGGTCACCTCCCCGCCGATGGCTCGAGGCTCCGTCATCTCGGTGCCCGCGGGGGGCCTCCCTGTCTCGGGTGTCTCGTGCGGAGTTGGCTGCTTGGGTTTCCTCGAATCGGATATAATGTGTTGCTCTGTCGAGGAAATCCTGTAGGGAGGCTGGCCGGTGTATGCCTACGGCCTCATAGAACTTGGAGTCGTGGCGTAGACCCTGTTCCATTAGGTAGCGCTTCATCTCGTCTGACGTCGTTACCTGCACCGCTTCCCGGGTGAATCTTTCGATGTATTTTCGGAGAGGTTCGTTGGGGGCTTGGATTATCGCCCCGAGGACGGCCTCCGTCTTCGGATGGCGTCGGGACTCTGTGAAGTGTTTCGAGAACAGGTCCTTCAGGACTCTCCACGACGTTACCGATTCGGGCTCCAGACTTTTATACCACGTCATGGCGCCTTTCCTCAGGGTCGTCGGGAATAACCTGCACTTGATAGCTCCTCAGACGTTTCGGTAATCGAGCATGGCCTCGATGTCTTCCAAATGATCATCTGGGTCGGATGTGCCGTCGTACGTCGATAACGTCGGGGGCTTCTCCATCCCATGGGGAATGGGGGCGGCCATGATTTCCCGGGACAACGGGGTCCGGTAGTCGTCTTCGTCATTGAGGGCGGGGGACTGGGGGGGAGATGAGCCGCTTAGGATAGGCACCTGGTTTCGGGTCTTCGGCCTCCTGACCGGGGGTTCGACACGCGGGTTTCTGGCCGGGATCGCCGAAGTGTTCAGCCGTCTCCCGCGAACTTGTCTCGCTGGGGATCTGGTGCGCTCTCGCACCACTTCTGTTCGGGGCCTCTCCAGCCGAGGTCGGCGATTTCTGGGTTGACGAGAGGGACTCCTTGAGCCTCCATTCTGGTCTCCCCGCGGAGGGGACCTCGGGGGGCCTTCCCGCTCCAGCGCTCCAATTCGTGCGTTCTGCTGAAACAACAGCTGGTTCGTCTAGTTGATGGCCGCAAAGAGGGCGGCCACCGTTGGGTCCGCTCCCGCTGGGATAGGAACGGGTTGGAACGCCGCTGGGCTCGGGGGCCGGTGGTCGTCCTGGCGCAGCAGTTCTGCGGATGACGGAGAAGTAGTCTGGTCGTCTCTCTCGTCGGTCTCCGCCGGACGTGACCTCTCCATCTGCTTGCTTCCGTTGGCGGCGGCGTTGAGCATGAAGTCGTGCATGGTATCGTCGTGGTGTGGGCTAGCCATGATCGTGGAGTGCTGGTGAAACTTTGGTTTTCTGCTCGGAGTAACGGGGAAGTTTCTGTTCCCACAGACGGCGCCACTGATCTGACCTGATCAGAAGGGGATCACGGGCTGGCCACACGTTGTTGGACTGCTACCTATTCACCGGTGGTGAGGAGGAGAAGGGGGTGTACCTGCAAAACACTCCGATGCCAAAGTAAGGAGTTTGGCAGAGTGAGAGCAGAGTACAAAAAATGGGTAAGAAGTGAATTACCTGACCCTCTTGTGGAAGAGGGTATTTATAGAGAGACCCCAGTGCTGGACCAACGGTCATTTGAGGTGGGCTGGATGACCAGGCCCAACCCTAATGACTGCTAGGGCATACTGTTAGCTCGCCAATTCGACGACTCATGTTTGGAGGCTATTTTCAGCATATTAAAAGACCTACAAGTCCTCCAAGGACTTAGGAAAATTGAAGTCTTGAAATTAAACACTTCGACTTGAGCAGCGAAGTGGTCTTCGACCGAGATTTAGAAGAAGGGACGAATTGAGTTTTTGAAATTCGAATTTTGGAGGGAGTAGTTATATTTTCTTATGACTAAGAAGGACAAGTGGCTCTCATCAGATAAAGGACTGCATGCGGTCTGACACTTGTCAAGAATAGATGGCCTAAGGAGGTTATTAGCGGTTATTAGCAGTTACTATTATTGTTATAAATAGGAGTCTTAGACATAAAACTTGGTGTGTTGTAATTTACTGTTGTACAAGTCACTCTTAAAATTACTCCAAGTATCCGAGTGTAGAGAAAGAGAGTATTATAGAGAATGTACGTGATGTAAAAACACCATCCTTTATCTTTTCAATGAAGTTACTTTGTTTTCTTTACTTTTGTCAAGTACTTTTATTTATTTGTTTCGTCTTTCCCTTTTGCTCATCATTACCACTTCGATTAGGTCTTTCCCTCCCAAAAAACCTTTATCTCTTTTCCCTCTAATAATTCTTCTTCCTTCTTTCTTTTAAACATAGTGGATAATTTCTGCCCCCCTTTTTTAATTATTTCTTCTTAGTATTGTTGAAACATATTTCTAGATAGGCTCAAATAGAAATACCCTTTAGCACATGTCCTAGGATTTCGTATGGTCAATCCTGCAAGTTAGTCAATTTGACACCAAATTGATAGACCAGAGGTTGTTTACCAAAAAACACGGTAAACACTTACGTGGCGTAGTGAAGACCAGAACATGGTCTTCGCCCTAGTCCAACTGTCCCATGATCTCCAGAAAGTGGGTTTGACCTGATCTTTCGGAGGTGGGCAGTTAGGAGATAACGTGTCCCCGCGGAGGGGAGCACGTGGAGAGCGTGCGCATGGCACGTTGTTCTCCCTGCGGAGGGGAGCCCAGGAGATTCCCCAGGGGTCTTGCTCGATGGCATGGGGATACCGCCCACGGAGGGCGGTGCTTGGTCGTGCGGGCGATTCTCTTGTCCGGCGTGGTTGGGACGGTTCTTCTTTGCGGGGAGATCATCCTAGCATGTCGAGGATCTTGTGCTCGACGCGGTACCCGGACCGGGCAGGGCCTGGTGGAACATTATTGGGTTGGGCCAGCATAGTTCAGCCCGGGGCCCAGTCCAGAACAGAAAGATTTGGGAAAAACAAAGTTCTGCCTTGGTTTACAAATTGAGTATACTAAAAAATGGTATATTGGTACATCAATCAAATTATATTAAAAGGGTATTGAAAAAGTTTAACATGGACAAAGCAAACCCTTTAAGTACTTCAATGATGGGTAGAACATTTAACATTAAAAATGATCCATTTAGACCTAAGGAAGGTAATGAAGAAAATCTTAAATCTAAAGTACCATACCTTAGTGCCATTGGGGCACTCATGTACCTTGCTAACTATACCAGACCTGATATAGCTTTTGCAGTAAATTTATTAGCAAGATTCCGTTCATGTCCTACAAAAAGACATTGGAAAGGAATAAAACATATATTCCCATATCTTCGAGGTACATCAGACCTTGGTTTATTTTATTCTAACAATACAAAACTAGTTTTACTTGGTTATGCAGATGCAAGATATTTGTCAGATCCACATAATGCTAAATCACATACTGGATATATATTTACATATGGTAATATTGCAATATCATGGAGATCACAAAAGCAAACACTTGTAGCAACTTCTTCAAATCATGCTGAAGTAATTGTTCTTCATGAAGCAAGCAAAGAATGTAGATGGTTACGATCGGTAAGTAGACATGTCCAAGGAGTATCTGGTTTACCCATTGATAATAATTCAACAATTTTGTATGAAGACAATGCTGCATGTGTTACCCAGATGAAAGAAGGTTACATCAAAAGTGACAGAACCAAGCATATCCCTCCAAAGTTCTTCTCATTCACGCAAGAACTTAAAAGAAACAAAGAGGTTAAAATTCAGTATATTCGTTTAGGTGATAATATGGCAGATCTCTTCACAAAGACACTTCCTATATCAATTTTCAAGAAGCATGTACAAAATATTGGAATGCGTCAACTTCGAGATTTTTAAAGAAGAACTATGTCTGCTCTGTTGAGGGGGAGCATCATGTTGTACTCTTTTTCCCTTATTAAGGTTTTTATCTCAATAGATTTTTCCTAATAAGATTTTTGACGAGACAATATATGTTCCCATAAGTTTCTCCTTTGATAAGAGTTCGATGGAGTACTATAATAGATATTTCAAAGGGGGAATGTTATAATATTATTATTATTATTATTATTAAAATAATATTATCATTTAGAAATATCTATCTAAATAGTAATTACAAATTATTATAGATCCATAAATTTGTCAAAATTTAAATAGTAAGTTCAACTAATACATTAGTGTAATAGTTGCATTTTTAGTAGTATAAATACTACTTTTGGCCAATGTAAAAATACACACAAAAAATTTACTTTAAAAATACAAATAAATCATTCTCTTTTCTTCACTTTTTCATCTAATTTGATAGTTAAAACTAGTCTATAAATTTATATTAGTTTATAAATATTAATAAATATTTAAAGTCGACTTTTTTCAACATCATCCAAATTCTAAGAGAAAATTTTTTTAAGTAAAAATATTTCATTGAATTAATTTTTACTCAAAATATATTTTTTAATTAAATATATGGCTAGTTGGTACAAGTGATAAGTTCCAACGGAACAATTGAAACTATAATTGAATAAAATCACGTGACCAGCACATGGTACAGCAACAATTTCATTTCATTCAATTTTGAATCAAATCGAAATCAAAAATATCAAAATCTCTCTCTATCAAATTCGAGTTTAGAAACGAAGCAGCAGTGAAAATCGATTATCAGCTATGGAAGCAATACTCGTCGATTGTGTTCGAAAAAATCTATGCCATTTCATGCACTCCAACGCCATCTTCCTCTCTCACCGTCTCTGCGCCGAATTTCCCTCTGAGGTAATTTTCATCTCTCTAAACATTTGATCCCTTCGAGAAAATCTTCAGGGAGACGAAAGTATTCGCTAATTTCTTATGTAGTTCCGTTTACGTCGAGATCGGTGTTTCTAATTGATTCAACTCTCTTTTCATATTGGCAGTTTAATTTTTCAGATGATTTAGGGTACAATTTTATCTTTTAGCTTGGTGTATATCTGAATTTTAAGTTTTATGTTGTTATTATATTTTCAATGTGATATAGTGTAGTTAAATTGGATGTGAAATTTGAATTTGTTTTGCCAGGATTAAAAGTTGTGAGAATGAGAGACTTCACTCTGAAATTTAGTATGGGGTTCTTGTTCTTGCTGTTAGTTTTGTGAACTTACTTACTAATTTGTTATGATTTTTTTATTTTTTTTCCTTTTCCAAGGTTTCAAGGTTGCCTTTAGGATATTATGACTCTCTAGAAACGAACCTGTTTCTACGAAATTCATAGTTTTTAGCTTTAGGAATTGATGATATTTTGTGCTGCCTTCTTTTAGAGCCCTGGATAGAACCTACTACTTTGTACCTTAAATTTTGCTCACAAGAAGTTTGAAGAAGAAATTTCATTTGACTTGAAAATGCCACTTGACTTGAAAATGACAGTAGGTAGTGTAGACTTGGATATTGTAATTTTTTATAGATATCAGTATGAAGTTTAGATTTCGTCCTTCTAATGCTGCAACGTATAATTGTATAACCATGTTGTTTTAAGAAGTGACGAGGAAAAACAGTGAAATATGATTAGGTGGCAGGGTAAAATTTGTTTATTTTGTCGCTTTGATGAAGTAAACAAAAGTAAGTAAGGAAGGGTTCCCACATTTTCATGAACGGGTATGGTAAAGAAGTAAGTTCTTGAGAGTTGAATTAGTATTGGAACATGGAATATAGAAACACTTTAACACTTATAGGAAATCTATGAAAATATTAGACACTTAGTGAGATAAGGCTTGGTTGTTGTTGTAAGAGCAATGATGTTGTACAGAACAAAATGTTGGGCGGTCAGGAACTAACATAAGAATAAACTAAGTGTAGCATACATAGGGATGCTGTGTTTGATGTGTGGTAAGGTTAGACAAGATAACATTTGGTATTTTTAGTTGTAGACAATTGTGCAACTTTTAGTATTTTTCTTTGTAGAGAATTGTGTTTTGGTGAATTTCAAGTTGAATATACTAAAGAGTCGGCATAGTGCTTTGCTAGCATTGAGCTAGAGACGAGGGACCCAAGGCGTATGATAAGTATAGACTATACGCTGACATGGCACGACATGGCTGTGACCTCTCGTTCCCCTGTTACCTAGTTGGAATTATGTATCTGTTGAAGTCATGTTTTAGGTCCACTAGGGGTGGCGGCTAATTATGCACTCACTCTCCTACCTGACTTGGCGTTTTAGGTCTTGAGCATTGGTTTAAGTCCATGTTCATTCAAAACTCTTTAGTCTGGGCTCATGGCCTTCTTAGGTTGGTTTACTTCGGCCCACCAGCCCCCAAACACGAGGCCTGGTAGGGATGAAGTGTTTAAAGATATTACTCTAGTCCCCTAAGTTCTTTTTCTGAGCTAGTGGCCCTGTTAGGTCTATTCTGGTCCTTCATCTTAGGTGTACTCTGTTCCAGTTGTTAAACCCTAGAGCGTGAACAAAATGATATTGATTTATGGAGGACCAATATATCTTTAAATATGTAGAGAGAACTTATGAGAATATGAGGTTGAAGTTACTTTGTTGCTTTTTTAGGAAAGGATCATTTTATTTTTAATAGTAACTCTTTACTTCTTTTGCCGACCCCACTTAGTGGGATAAAGCTTGGTTGTTGTTTTTGTTGTACTCTTTATTTCTTTAATTTATGTGTAAATTATGTATTCTCTATAGTATTTGTAATTATATATTCTGCCATAAATAAAAGTCGGTTATTACTATTAATTTGTACTCTGGACTGGAGCCCAGTTTCTATCAAACTTTTTCAACCGCTACTTATTGTTCATGAGTGGTCCTTTCTTTGAGTGTATATTCAACATCACTTGTTGAAAATTATCCGTACTCTTTCCGTGGTATTGTTAACAATTATATTTCTTGTATGCTATACAGACAAATCTCCAATTATTGGCTGGCTGTTACTTGCAGAGTAATCAAGCACATTCTGCATACCATATTTTAAAGGGTATGTCTCATTCAATATTTAGGTACCAACCAGTTTTAGAGTCATGTTCACCCTGTTTGTTTTAGATAATATCATTCATGTTCTGTTCCTGAATTTTATTTTAGATAAATTATTACCATTAACGTTCTGTTTCCTGAATTTCCTTTTAATAGATATATGTTTTCCCCTTTGTTTGTAAATATCTCGTTGCAGTGCTTCACACTGTCTCTAGTTATTCATTTTGTCTTTATTGATTGAAGGCACACAAATGGCTCAATCTCGGTACTTGTTTGCAATATCATGCTTTCAGATGGATCTTCTTAATGAAGCTGAAGCAGCATTATGTCCTGCTAATGAGCCTAATGCTGAGGTACACAGCATAATTTATGATGTATTTTAAATTAAGAATTGTTTTCTAATCTATTAGTGAAATTTGTAAAAGCATGCAAGTGGCTCAACTATATTTGTCTGAAATTGATTGGATGTGAATTTTCATCTTTTGTTTTATTCTAAGTCTCATTTGCTATTAACTATTAATAACATATGACATTGGTTCTACGCGTCACTCTGCTTTAAATTATTTCAATTAAAGTTATAGGTTGTCAATGGTGTAGTCAAGATTGAGTGTTGGATTGTAAGATCTTACGTTTTACGATCTTACACGCTATGGATGCCGAGGAGTGCTACGACCAGAGAAAAATCGTTTTCGTCACCGACGTGGTTAACATCGAGCTTTTGAAGCAAGATCATTATAAAAGTGTGTTGAGTTTTTGAAGCAAGATCAGAGAAAAATATATATATAATTACCATTTTTACCTTCGGTAGGATCTTAGGTGCTTTGCAAACGATCTGGGTTTTACAATCTTTCACAAGCCGATCCATCCTACTTAAGTTCTCGTGCTTGACTACATTGAATGTTAGTGTATGTACTAGGAGAAGTTGAATTACTACTTTTTGATTTGTTTCCTTAATGTGTAGGTTCCGAACGGTTCAGCTGGTCATCATCTATTAGGGCTCATTTACAGGTTGCTTATTATTCTTACGATCAATTGCCAAAATACATAAAAATATGAACTTTTGCTTACATTCTTATTGATTTCCAAAATTTTCAAAATTTTACATGAAAGTTATGATTTTATAACAATTGAATTGGTAAGAATTACATTCATGAAAAATACTGGGCGGGGTGTTTAATTGGACCCATTAAGAGAAAGAGGCTCAAGTAGAGAGGGGAAGTGCTGAGCTGACAAGTTGGTTAGAGAGAGTGGGGGAAGTTACACGTGAGGGGAAGTATATGAGGTGTGTGAGAGAGAAATAGGGGATTATTGAGTAGCATTTGTACTAGAACCTTAGGGTTGGGCAAAGAGAGAGAATTGTCTCTTCTCTGAAGAGCTTAGTTCTGGGATTGCAGGGGGGTTCATCTTTTGTAATAGTTACTGTTTTTCAATTAAAAATACAATTTCTACTTCTCTTGAATCTGGGTTCCTAACACTGGTGTATGTTGTGTGTGATAAGCCTAGGCCACCCATCACCAAGTTTTACACCCGTAGGCAGTGATGTCCAAGGAGTGCAAGATCAAGAGATGCGAATCAGGGGGCGTGACCCTTGGTGGATAGACACACCCATCCAAAAGGATGCAGTCCTTGGAACCAAACAGCATCAAATCTAACCGTCACAACCCTTCAGATTAATTGTACCAATTGGGACAAATGTTAAATACAGTATAAATAAAAGCAAACCAGAATTAGGAAAGCATTCTGGAAAATTAGGAAGAATTTGAATTAGGAGAGACAGGCTCTCGAAAATCTGAGTTGTAATATTCCAAAATTATCTATATAAATTTCTATTTTCATCCTTTTCATTTCTGTTCCATTCTTGTGTTCTTATCAATTGGTATCAGAGCACTGTCCAGGTGCTTTGCTTCCAACTATGGTGACAACTCGATCTAATCCCGAAAATCCAGACACAATGGAGAGAATTTTGGAAATGTTGATGGCGGACCGACAAAACCTAGATGCAGAACGACAACATTTCGAAACACGCTTTGCACGCCTAGAAGCCATGGTGGAAAGTTTATCCAAGCGGTCAGAAGATGGCACACCCAAAGGTTCCATCAATGGAGAACATTCAACCAAGGTCCACACCGGAGAAAGAAAAACAAAACGATGGAGAAAATTGGCAATCCCCATATACGACGGAGAATCCAATGCTTATGGCTGGATAAATAAATTGGAACGCTTCTTTCAAATGAGAGACATCCTAGAAGAAGAGAAAATTCAGGCAGTTATGGTGACTCTAGAGGGAAAGGCGCTATCTTGGTCCCAATGGTGGGAGAATTGCAATTCTGATATTGGATGGGAAGATTTCAAACTTGCCATTATTAAAAGGTTCCAAACTTCAGCCACTCTCAACCTTTTTGCTGCCCTCCTTGCACTTAAACAAGAAGAAACGGTAGAAGAGTACGTTGAACAATTCGAAAAGTTTGCAGGCATGCTAAAAAATTCGATGAAGAACATTTAAAGGACATTTTTGTGAACGGGCTGAAGGAAGACATTGGGGCAGAAATTAAACTCTACGAACCACCCACCTTTTCAATCATGGTCAAGAAGGCATTAATGATTGAACAAAAAAATAGAGCAATTTGAAAAGGGGGACCGAATGCGCCTTCTAACTCAATTTCAAAATTCAACAACTCGCATCGAAGTCCATCCTATTCGAAGACTGTTACTTATGGTGTTAGTCAGAAAGGTGGGGGAAAAAGTAATGGCCCTTCTAATTCTTTTGCGGGCAATATATCCGTGAACAAATCAGAAAACAGCAACCAACCCAGAGGATTTCAACGATTAACTGAAGCAGAACTTCAAGAGAAGAGAAAGAAAGGAGAATGTTTTCGTTGCGAAGAAAAATGGAGCACTTCTCATGTATGCAGAAATAAACAACTTCGGATAATGTTAGTAACAGACGAAGATGATGTTGAAAACTCCGAAGAGGAGCCCGAACCAGAATTTAGAGAAACTCCCCAATGATCCATGAATAGTATTGTGGGATTTACTTCTCGCCGATCCTTGAAGGTTTGGGGAAGCATTAATGATAACAAAGTCATAGTATTGATAGATTGCGGCGCCACCCACAACTTCATTTCGAAGGAACTGGTGGAAAAAGTACAATTAGAGGTGGAAGACACCCCATCATACGTTGTAGAAGTCGGAGATGGTCACAAAATCAAATGTAAGGAAGTATGCCGAAAGGTTCCCTTGAAAGTGCAAGAAGTACAAGTACAACAACAATTCTTCTTGTTTGGCCTTGGAGGCGTGGATGTGGTTTTAGGCATGGAATGGCTAGCAAGCTTGGGAGAGATTAATGCCAACTTTGAACAACTAACGTTGGGCTTCAAGATTAATGGCAAAAAGGTGATTTTAAAGGGAGAACCAGAACTTTCAAAGAAAGACGCCTCACTTAATTCTATGTTGAAAGCTTTGCAGCAAGGCGAAGGGTTCCTTATCGATTATCATCATATTCAAGCAGAGATAGATTGGAAGGATTCAATCCTGTCGGAATTAAAAGATGTGCTACGTGATTTCCCTTCCATCTTTGAACCCCCAGAAGGACTTCCTCCTCATCGACGTCAAGACCATGCCATTCACCTCAAAGAAGGAGCACAAATACCAAATATAAGACCATACAGATATCTTCACTATCAAAAAACAGAAATTGAAAAATTGGTTGCGGAAATGTTAGAAGCGGGAATCATCCGACCATCTAAAAGTCCTTATTCTAGTCCTGTCATCCTAGTCAGAAAGAAAGACGGTAGTTGGCGGTTTTGTGTAGATTACAGGGCCTTGAACAAAATCACTGTTCCCGACAAATTTCCCATCCCGGTGATTAAAGAGTTGTTGGACGAAATAGGAGGGGCCAACATCTTTTCAAAACTGGATTTAAGATCCGGATACCACCAAATCAGAATGAAGGAAGAGGATATTGCGAAAACTGCTTTCCAAACACATGAAGGTCATTATGAATTTATGGTACTTCCATTTGGACTTACTAACGCACCTTTCTTCTTTTCAATCATTAATTAATGAAGTATTAAGGCCAGTACTCCGAAAATACGTTTTGGTATTCTTTGATGATATCCTAACATACAGCCCGACTATGGAAGAACACAAGCAACATCTGCAAAAAGTATTAATGTTACTCCAACAAAATGAATTGAAGATCAACGACAAGAAGTGCTCATTTGGCCAAGATAACTTGGAATATCTGGGACATGTTATATCTGCTGGAGGAGTATCCGCAAATCCTAAGAAGTTGGAAGCAATGACATTATGGCCTTTTACCTAAGGATGTCACTAGCTTAAGGGGATTTCTAGGCCTTACTGGCTATTATAGGAGGTTTGTTCATAATTATGGAAGAATAGCAAGGCCATTTGACCAACCTGTTGAAGAAAAATGCCTTCCAATGGAGTTCGGAGGCACAACTTGTTTTCGAACAACTAAAGAAGCCATGACCAAATTGCCTACATTAGCCATACCCAACTTTTCACAGCCCTTTGTGGTTGAAACAAATGCTTGCGGAACCGGACTAGGGGCTGTTCTAATGCAAGAAGGAAGACCCCTAGCCTTTTGGAGTACTACCCTATCAGAAAGGAATCAGAAGAAATCAGTGTATGAACGTGAATTGATGGAAGTCGTAAAAACAGTCCAGAAATGGCGACACTACTTGCTGGGAAACCATTTTATTATTAAAACTGACCAAAAAAGTTTGAAATTTTTGACAGATCAGAGGATGATCGGTGAGGAACAACACAAATGGATTTCCAAATTAGCAGGATATGATTTTGAAATACAGTACAAACCAGGGAAGGAAAACTTTGCTGCTGATGCCCTATCCAGGAGAAGTTCTTATTATGCCATGACAATCTTACAAATTCACGATTTCGAGGAATGGGCTGAAGAGATCAAACAAGATGCCAAGTTACAGAAAATCATGCAAGACCTAATTATCAATCCTATGTCTCATGCTGGCTACACGTTAAGGGATCAGAAACTATTTTACAAGGAAAAATTGGTGTTGTCCAAATCGTCCTCCAGAATTCCCATCATTTTAAAAGAATTCCATTCATCCTTGGTAGGAGGACACTCAGGAATCTTCAGGACTTATAAAAGAATAGCTGATCTAGTTTATTGGGAAGGGATGAAAACCAACATCAAAAATTTTGTTGCAGCTTGCGAAGTCTGTCAAAGAAACAAAAGCGACAACTTATCACCAGCAGGACTGCTACAGCCATTACCAATTCCTACTCAAGTATGGACAGACATTTCGATGGATTTTATTGGAGGACTACCCAAATCCATGGGGAAGGATACAATTTTGGTGGTGGTTGACCGACTCACCAAATATGCCCACTTCATACCATTAGGGCATCCTTACACCGCTATCGATGTTGTTGCAGTTTTTCTACAGGAAATTGTAAGATTGCATGGATTTCCGTCTTCCATTGTTTCAGATCGCGATCCTTTGTTTTTAAGCAATTTTTGGAAAGCCCTTTTTAAAGCAACAGAAACACAACTAAAATTTAGTTCGGCATACCACCCTCAAACGGATGGACAAACGGAAGTTGTCAATCGATGCTTGGAAGTTTATTTACGATGCTTAACAGGTACTAAGCCAAAGAAATGGGTCTCTTGTCTTCCCTGGGCAGAATTCTGGTTTAACACCAATTACAATGCTTCAAGCAAAATGTCCCCTTTCAAAGCGTTGTATGGACATGATCCACCTCACATTCTTAAGGGATCCACCATTCCTTCCTGCCTTGAAGAAGTCAACAAACTTACAATTGCTCGGGATGAATTATTGGCGGCTCTGAGAGAGAATTTGTTGAAGTCCCAAGATGTCATGCGTGCAAATGCCAACAAACACCACCGAGATATAGAATATTAAATCGGTGATTGCGTGTTCTTGAAGATGCAACCTTACAGGAGAAGATCTTTGGCTAAAAGGATTAATGAAAAACTCTCCCTTCGATTTTATGGTCCTTTTCAGGTGTTAAAAAAAGTGGGTGCTGTTGCTTACAAATTGGATCTTCCATCTCACAGTAAAATTCATCCAGTCTTTCATGTCTCTCTCCTCAAGAAGGCCATTGGTGACTCTTTCCAATCACAACCTTTACCACCTATGCTATTTGAGGATCAAGAATTACAGGTTTATCCGGACGCTATTTTAGATATTCGTGAGTTACAACCTGGCAACGTGGAAGTCTTAGTTAAATGGCAAAATCTCCCTACAAGTGAAAATAGTTGGGAATCTGTGGCTAAATTACAAGAGGTCTTCCCAGATTATCACCTTGAGGACAAGGTGAGTCTTTTAGGCGGGGGTATTGATAAGCCTAGGCCACCCATCACCAAGTTTTACACCCGCAGGCAGCGATGTCCAAGGAGTGCAGGATCAAGAGATGCGAATTAGGGGGCGTGACCCTTGGTGAATAGACACACCCATCCAAAAGGATGCAGCCCTTGGAACCAAACAGCATCAGATCTAACAGTCACAACCCTTCAGATTAATTGTACCAATTAGGAACAGATGTTAAATACAGTATAAATAAAAGCAAACCAGAATTAGGAAAGCATTCTGGAAAATTAGGAAGAATTTGAATTAGGAGAGACAGGCTCTCGAAAACCTGAGTTGTAATATTCCAAAATTATCTATATAAATTTCTATTTTCATCCTTTTCATTTCTGTTCCATTCTTGTGTTCTTATCAGTGTGTGTGAGAGAGCATTAAGTTCATCCTTATATATTCTCTTTTTCAGATACACTGACAGAAGGAAAAGTGCCATACATCATTTTAAGCAGGCACTGTCAATGGATCCTCTAATGTGGGCAGCATACGAAGAGTTGTGCATATTAGGTATTTAAGATGATTTTCACCTGGTTTCTGGTGCTCACTGGGCATATTTGATGAAGTATGAATTGATTGCAAACGTCCTAGTTTTTAGAGCTTCTTTCTAGGCTGAAATGTTATGTGGTTCATATTTCAAAGATTGCTTTAAGTTTGATTAGATATGCAACTTCAAACAAAGAAGAAATGTTGAAAATTCTATGATAAGAGAAATTGTAGTTTTTCTTCTATTCACCTCATTGGATCTCTTCTAAATCTGCTCATGATTAATTTTGAATTGATTTCCTCATTTTTAAAATCTTAAATGTTGAACTTTATGCTATCATTATCATCATTAACAGTTCACAAGTTTTCTGAATATTTAGGTGCTGCGGAAGAAGCAACTGCATTTTTTGGCGAAGCAGCTGCTCTTTGCATACAAAAGCAATACCTAAATTGCTCAACCTCTCCAAAGTTGCATTCATCATCAGCGGATTGTAATTTAGTTGACACTAGACATTGTGTGTCAGAAGATACAAGTCCAAGGCAATCGAAACTCAAGCAAGGCCTAAAAGATCCTGGAAACCATCATGGGGCACCTATATTAGGAGGAACTTCGGGTCAACCAATTAGTAGTGGTCTGTCTAATATATCATTTTATAATACGCCATCTCCAATGGTGACACAGGTAATTGGCTATATTCATCTAATTTTATATTGTGTGTATATGTTACTTTTTGTTAAAAATTGTAAATAAGCTAAACTAATAAAAGCACAGTTTTTATAATTTTCAAAATGCTCACCAAAATTGATAAAATATTGATAAAAAGTGTTTTTATTGTTCCATAATATTATATGGGTTCCTTGGTCTATTAAACACTTGCTTGATCCTGTTTTTCTTTCACGCTGAGATATATTTTTCAAATCTTTTGTAGTTGTCAGGTGTTGCTCCACCTCCTTTGTGTAGGAATGTGCAGCCAAATGGCTCAAATATGAGCACACAAAGTGCTGAAAATTCTCCTAAATCAACAGTGAACTCTACTATTCAAGCTCCTCGAAGGAAGTTCGTGGATGAAGGAAAGTTAAGAAAGGTTAAGAAATTGTTATCTATAAATCGTTTGCTTTCTGCTACCTTTAATGTTTCTCCCAATTGAACAAGGTTTGGTTGTTGTGTTCTTTTTGCTTTAAAAAAAAACTTATGAATCTTTTGCTTTCTGCTTCCTTTAGTGTTTCCCCTAGTGGAACAAGGTTTGTTTGTGATTTTTATTTTTTGCTTTTAAAAAAAATATTATGACCAAATAGTTTAAGAGTTGTTGGCCAAAAAGCTTTTTTTTTTTCTCCTTTTCGAAATGTGAAATAATGAAAACCAAACATGTGTTGCCATGAACCAATGGTCCCAAATGCTAAAGTTATTTAATGGAAGAAAGTAAACAATTTTATAACATGCCTCCTATGCTACATCCATTTGGACTTGAAGTGTGAGTGATGTACAAACCCACCCAACCATTTGCATAACTTCTATTTCGAAAAGCTAGGACAACAAAGATCAGACTTTGGACCACTCGGGTTTTTGAGGCTCTGATCATTTCAAAAACTTATTAGATTAAAATGTATGAACGGTCTTATATCTTACACGCATAGTTTAGTTCTTTAATCTTCTGTATCTCCTCAACATCTCAGCTCTCTCCGTGCTATTATGCATTCTAGTTTTTATGTACTTCTATATAGCGTCCGGCAGCACTCTGATAAGGTAGTGTTCTAAATATTTTTCCGTCACGTGTGACTGAATTTATCATATATTTTGTTCAATAATTGATTATGTAAGCAAGTATATTTTGTTTTTGTACATCATGTTGAATGCTCAAGTGTTACTGATTATGTTACCGTTGTCTGTCATTTGTTAATATTCCTTGTAATTTTTTGTCTCAGATTTCTGGAAGATTATTTTCTGATTCTGGTCCCCGACGTAGTTTGAGACTCTCAGGTGATGCAAGTGTAAATCCAAATCCTAATACAACAGCTGTATCTGGAAATGGAACTAGTTACACTTCTAAGCATCTTGGTGGGTCAAAGCTTAGCTCAATGGCGTTTCGTTCTGTGACTGTTCGCAAGGGACAATCATGGGCCAATGAAAACATAGGTGAAGGTGATGAATCTTTATTATATATAGCACTATTTTACTATTGTTTAATGTCTTTGAGGAATGTTATCCTTCATATATGTGTAGAGATGCATCCCAGCTGATAAAATTATGTTTTCTGAAAATCTTTATGCTGCTGCCTTTTTTTCTTTAAAAAGATGATAAGACCATAATTGTCAATTCTGATACGTAGAGTAATCCTCCCAAAAGAACCTTGTATTCGACTGCTACGTGTTGCTATTCAGATTAATACTGCTACTACTACTCTAAACACCCTTTTGATGGCAACCTGAATTAAAAAGTATAAGAAAATGTATTAACAGGGATAACTAACAAATCATTTACAACAAAAAACATTCTTAAAGGAATGAGAATGTATGGATGGTGCGAGAAAAGGCGGTTAATGGAATTAACAGGAAAAATAACTAAATGCATTAGATCAAGATTAGGAGAATGTGAGCTGTTAAATGTGAACGAAATTATCAATGAAGTGCTAGCTAGAGACCTGAATGCCGATAAGCACTGTGTTTAGGAAAAATTGACGCTTGCTGAAAATGACACCAGAGAGAAGTAGGTTGGTGGCAGACATTAAAAATGGGCGACTATTTTTGTTTAAACAGAAGTGATACAAAAGTAGATTGGTGGCTGACAATGAAAGTGGGCGGGTATTTTTGTTGAAACAGTGACACGAAATGTGTTTTTGTGCTGAAATAGAAACTCTATAATGATCGTGTTGAAAATCGAGGATAAAGTATGATAATACTCTATAAAATGGGTAGGAAAACTCAGACGAGACGACAGGGTTAAGGTAAAACAAAGTTTAGATAGGATACCAAACAAACAAGTTCAATATTGAGAAATTCTGTGACAAACTGAGATAAAAAGTGATGGAGGATAATATCACTTTGATACCATGCTAAAATTAGAGTTCAGATAATTTATGTTACATCTATAGCAAAATACTTATTTGGTACGATTTATTCTGATTATCTAGATCAAGTATTGATGCTGTACTAAGAAATGTTAATATTCCAATATAGAATATTTCCAAGCAGCTATTTGCAAATACTTAATGAGTTCTCATTCCTTTTTCTTCAGGAATTCATAATGAGATTTTAGATGATTCTCGTTTAAATATTACATCAGCAGCTATTTGCAAATACTTAATGAGTTCTCATTCCTTTTTCTTCAGGAATTCATAATGACATTTTAGATGATTCTCGTTTAAATATTACATCAACTTCTAGTTCCTTGGCTACCATAGAAGCTAAATCTTATGAACCGGATGCCGAGAGTATTCTGGTTGGTGGACAAGTATTAAGTGCTTCAAAAGTCATCACTGGTGCTTCTGAAATACTGACCCTTCTAAGAGTTCTTGGTGAAGGTTTTAGACTTGCCTGCTTGTATAGGTCCCAGGTATTAATTACTGCTTCTGCAGAAAGGTTATTTATAATTTATATTCATGTATTTACTATTTTCTTAATCATGAATATGAAAGGAGAAAAATAAATTAACAAAATACTTTGTTGTTGTGGCATTCAGTTTTCTAATATGTTTTTATTGGTGGCACAGGATGCACTGGAAACCTATCTGAAACTTCCATATAAGCATTACAATACAGGTTGGGTTCTTTCCCAGGTAATATTGGTTGCCTGGCTAGCATTCTCTGGTCTTCCCTAGGATTTTTGCTGATCATGGTTGTGTAACTCACCCAATTTATAGAATCATACAAAGTTTAGGACCTAAGTATGATGAGTTATTTTGCTTACAAAATCATGAGTACTCAGAATTGTAAGTTTGAGAACTTATTAAAGATAGAATCTGCAAAATCATAGTTATTTCCTCTAGAATGCATAAAATGACAGCGATTCCGTGTTTTTTAGAAAACCCAAAATGCAACAGCTAAATTACAATGCTTTCAAGTGCGTAAAACATTAACCTCATAGTTGTAGCACTGGACTCCACGGATGCATCTAACATCTGAATGTGAACCCATGTGCAGAGGAGGCGGACAATGTTGTATTAATCTCAACCTCATAGTTTCCATCATAAATAGTCCCGGACCAGAACACATGAACTTTCCAATCTCTGCAATTTTGCAATCAACCCAGTAGGCCCAAAATGATGAATGGACCCAACACTAATGAGTTGAAATCTAGCTCTACCTTGATGGATCCTGCTTCTTTGGAAGGAAGTTTAGTCTGATCTGGTGTAGGCTAGTAGTCCAATATTTGCGTGCTTATAGTATCAAAATTAGATGTTTTAAATATTATGTGCATGCAATGTGTAGCTCCACTCATCTAATGCTGATATTCAATATTTTATTAGAAAGATGAAAATAATAAGGATTGTACTTTATACCATTTTGCTATAGCCCATAGAGGCATATTACATGTCATGGACCAACTATTTAAACTATTAGGTGAAGATAGTTTTTTATTAATGTTGCATAGGTATGGGTACGGTACCCGGTGCGGGTATTGGTACTGGTACGAAATACAACATTTAAAAAAAATCAAGGTACGAAAATGAAAATTTTCTATAAAATGTATAAGTAAAGAATTAAATTATTAGGTTCATAACAAAACACCACTATAAAAAATTGAAAAACCAAAAATAATGTTAAGATACAATAACAAAAAAAATTAAAACACATAAATATACTATATTGGTATTTAAGAAAACCACAAATTTCGTTCAAAACCAAATAATGAGAAAAAATGAAGTACCACGAGTACGGTACGAGTACCTCATCATTTTAGAAGTACCCATGCTTTAGAGTTTTTAATTTTATTTTATATAATACGATTCAAATATACTAAAATAGTCTTTGCGCTAGAGATTACAGGTGCATATCAATAACAATCTGTTACTATATTCGAATGTTTTAATCAGGTTGGAAAGGTGTACTGTGAATTTGATTATTTAGAAGCTGATCGGGCCTTTGGTCTTGCTCGGCAGATTACGCCTTATAATTTGGAAGCAATGGATGTATACTCAACAGTCCTTTATGTGAGTTTAAATTGTATTTTATCAACTTCAGTGATATTTTTACTGTGTGCAAGTGTTAGCACTAATACCTTTTTTGTCAAATCCTTAATGAACAAGGAAACAAATCATGAACTGTGATGAAATGTGAAATATTCCTAAAAGACCACTGAAAATATAAATATTCTTTCTTAGCCTTACAAAAAATGAATAAAGCATGTGATGTGTTTTTCTCTGTAGCATTTGGGATTCATGGTTGATGCAGCTATTAAAGCCTCTTGATATTAAAATCATGCCATTGCCAATAATGGTGAATTGACAATATTAGAAAATTGATGGATAATCCTGAAGAAAATTAATTCCACTTTCTTGTCTGTTGCAATACTTATGGAGTAAAATAATTTAGTTAATGCTGGACACTGGGGATTTGGTGATTTGCTGAAACTAGTCTATAGATTACAAAAGCACCATGATGATTAATGCGTGACAGTAATTTTTTATTACTATATTTTTTCGTTGTATTTGTTAAGCCTCCTGCTTCGTTTTATGCTTAAATTTTAAATGCATTCTTATTGCTTGACCAAAGACTAAATTATTACTGGTGTAGCATCTAAAGGAAGATATGAAGTTAAGCTACCTGGCTCAGGAACTAGTACATAGTGATCGCTTAGCTCCACAATCTTGGTAGGCTTCTATGAAACTTTTTTTTATGATTATTCATTATGCCGAATGTTATATATCCAGACTAAATTTTTTAACCCATAAAGTCATTTTCTCTAATTATTATCCATCACTTTTCCTTAAAGCCTAAAATTACAGCTCTTTGTACATGAGAGCTTGTGCTGTGAGCCAAAGTTTCCAAACCTTTGCAAATTTATTGTTTGTAACTTCTCTATTTGTGCTAATTTATCCTGGTTTATCATTATTGTTGAATGCTCTGGTAGGTGCGCCATGGGCAATTGCTACAGCCTTCAGAAAGATCATGAAACTGCACTGAAGACTTTCCAACGAGCTGCGCAACTAAATCCCAGATTTGCATATGCACACACCCTTTGTGGACATGAGTATGAACATTGTCTTACCATAATTTTGTAATTCATGAGAATCGGTGTCCAATAATTTGCTGTTTAACTAACTGGGAAAGGGACGTAGAAGGATAACAGTTCTTGCATTTTTCTTTGCATTTTGCTTTTATGTTTTTCTCAATTTTAATAGTTAATTTATCGGAAACTTTTTATTGCCTTCTAATTTGTTTCCCCTCACAGGTATGTTGCACTAGAAGATTTTGAGAATGGAATCAGATGCTACCAGAGTGCACTCAGGGTTGATGCAAGGCACTACAATGCTTGGTATGGACTTGGAATGGTATATCTTCGTCAAGAGAAATTTGAATTCTCCGAACACCATTTTCAAATGGCTTTCCAAATTAATCCACGTTCATCTGTTATATTGTCATACCTTGGTACTGCTTTGCACGCTTTAAAGGTTGACCTCTTAATGTACTGATTGTAAATAACTGCACCTCCTTCTGCTTGTGATTTGCATCCAGATTTTTAAATTTGTGCTATCTTCTATGATTTGACAGAGAAGTGACGAAGCACTGGTGGTAATGGAGAAGGCTATTTTGGCAGATAAGAAAAATCCTGTTCCAATGTATCAAAAGGCCAATATACTAATGAGCTTGGAAAAATTTGACGAGGCTCTGGAAGTCCTAGAGGAGCTTAAAGAGTATGCTCCCCGCGAAAGTAGTGTCTATGCTTTAATGGGAAGGATCTATAAAAGGCGTAACATGCATGAGAGAGCAATGCTTCATTATGGTATTGCTTTGGATTTGAAACCTTCTGCAACAGATGCTGCTGCTATCAAGGTGATATGATATGGTCCAGTTATTAACTAATGTATTTGCATATACTGATGGATACTCTTGATTGTGTTAGGATGTAGGGATTTTCATATTTTTTCGTATGCAACTTAAATATCTTATTCATTTCTAACAGGCTGCCATTGAGAAATTACATGTACCAGATGAGATGGACGACAATTTGTAGCTTTACAAGTGAAATGCATAACTGATGACTTTCTGCGGGTGAACTGCATACAAATCCTTTACTATAAGGAGTTGGAGGTGCTTGTGCTTTCGGCATTGTGCATAAAAGTCGTAAAATAAGTGCCCATTGAATTGGCGGGTCTGAGTTTTGTCGGAGAATCATTTATACTTTATAAGAGGACTTGATGCAACAGAGGTACCAAGAAGTTTCTATACTTGTAAGGGAAATGAAATGTAAGGGAAAATATATGTATCATTAGTTCATTGATTATTTTTTGTTCATAAATCACATCAATAGTTTGTAGCTCCTGGTTAACATTATTAGTAGAGCTAAATGGCTAAGAATATAGTAATGAATTTGCTGAGTAATATCTTGGTTTCATGTAGACAGTTTCTTTGACAAAAATAAGGTATTCTTTTTTAACTAATTAAATATTTATGGATGGATTGGGATGACATAGTTTGTTTCATATCAACCCTGGAAAAATAAAACAGCGAAAAAGGTAGACAATTTTTTTTACTCATAAAACTAGAAAAGTTAAAGAGAAGAGACAACAAAGTTAAGAAATATAACTTTCTTGTTTTTTTGATAGATAAAAATTTCTCTTTTACATAAAAGTTTCTCTTTTACGTAAAAGTTTCTCTTATTGGGGTTAAAAAAAGAAAGGTGAGAGGAAATAAAAAAGTATTTATAATTTTGTATATTCTTTTAATGCAGGGTGTAGTGGGTAAATATTCTTAATTGAGTTAAAAGGAAGATATGAGGTTTGAATTCATGACGGCTGCCTTCATAATTTAAAATGGACATAATTAGCATGTCTAATAAATAATGAGCATATTTTATTTCAGTCCATACATTTCTTTTTTATCATGTGGATTTTTACGTATGTTTTTAGACATATATTTTCGAAAGCACTTCACATTTAACTAAACGTTAATAATATTTTAGAGATATATTTTTGAAACTATTTAAATTTTAAACGGTTAAAATATATCTCACATAATCTATTTTCAATTAAATATTTTTTGAAATATATTTACGGGAATTTTTCGGAGATATATCTCCGAAGTGTATTAGAATAGGTTTTTTTTAATAATGCGTTGTGTATTTGTTCGCAGATGAAATATAAAATAACAGACATACAAAATAATAACAATATAATATAGTAATAAAATGTCGTATTAAAGTATTGTACTACTGTAGTACAAAGAAGAATTAGAAGGATTCTATCAGTATCCGAATGGAATTCTATTCTATCGATATAGAAATAAAAAAGAAATAAAAAAAGCCGGCTATCGGAATCGAACCGATGACCCTCGCACGACACGAAATTCAAAATGTAGTAATAATATCAAGAAAAACATACAAACTGTAGTTCCACAACAAAATAAATACAGACAAATATTGGGTGTGCCTGACAACCTCTCCTATACCTCCTCTACTTGATCTGCCTCCTCGACCATCGATCCCCCCATCCTCGTGCGATGTTTGTGGTACAATAGTGCCCCCTGTGCCTCTGCAACTATGACATCCAGTACTTGCTGCACAACAAAGCCCTCAAGGAATATACCCTCGTCAATGCCTACATGTGCAATCTCTACTATGCGACAACACCGAGACAAGACATCCTCAGTATGATCTAGATGAGCCTGCTCCTCCTCTAGAATCTCTTGATGAGCGGGTATCAGCGGATCTTCTGGAGTAGTCGATACCATGTATGGACGTGAGACCCTGAAGAACCACCTAATATATTCGTCGATGTAGCTCCAGTCATTCGACGCTATGGTAACCTGAGTCTCATTCGGTACCAGATGACTCTGATAATCATCAAACATCTCCTTTATCTGTATACAAGTCAAGGCAGGAGGAATAGAGACAACAGAGTGTCTATGGATGGTCTGGGTGTACCCGAACTGTCGCATGATGCGCTCGGGAAGAATAGTGATACTCGATCCGCATGCCAGCCATCCAGAGTATAACGATATGTCGTCAAATGACCGCGTCTGACGGTGGTCCACCTAGCAGTCGAAGTGGATGTCCTCGACAGTAAAGCGGTTAAGATAGACTCTGAAAGACTCGGCCGCCTGGTTTCCTCTCAGCGGGATAAAAGCACAGACATTGTGCATTTCCTCAATGTACTCATCTCAACACACCCAGCCGATGATGCGCGGGAAGTGCTGGAGGATCCAATCCTAAAATGAAAATAAAAACCATTCAGTGATCAAGAATTATCGCAAATATGAAATAAAAATGAAAAAAAACATTCAAGGATAAATAATCATTCCCAGCAGTAGTGTCGTGCTGCTTGTGACCTACTTCGTCTTCCACTGACATCCATCTCTCAACTTCGAATACAAATAGATCTGGTAAGCCGCTCCCTACTTGTACTTATGGATCCGTGTGAGATCCAAGAAGTACCAGAGGTATGTAACATTAGTATAGGTGGAACTCGTATCCACAAAAATCACAGTGCCAACTAAATAAAGAAAATATACCCTCAAAGCATGAGTCTTGTGTAAGGTCACCTGCTCGACATCACCATCAACCTGATATGCAGCAACGATCTCAACATCAAATAAGGTCTTCAAGAACGAAAACCTAACATGAGCACCCCTGGTCCATCTACCTCATCAAACGCCTTTCTTGGATCAACCCCTAGATGCTCCACCATCATATCGACCACCTCGTGTTTGGTCATCCTACCATGATGGAGGAATCTCCCCATGATCAGAATATGCAACAAAGACGAGACATCATCCAGGGTGATAGGCATCTCACCATCCGGGAGATGAAAAGAAGACGTATCTGAATGCCATATCTCCACAAATGCATTAAGCATCCTGTGGTTGACCAAATTGTAATCGGTCATGCATAGGTCACGCAACCCAGGAGTGGTCAGAACCAACTGAAACCACTAGTCTTCTGGTTGATGCAATGCTAAAATCTTCCTCTCATGGTTCAGAAACTTCTGGGGATCATGCACCTGTGAATTTTCAAAAATAATCAATGTCAGTAATAATCAATGTTATAAATAATCAATGTCAGCAATTTAAGTTAGCGTAAATAAATAAATAGTTACACTAATGTTACCTCTCCGTCCCAGATATATCTGACAGTGTGATCTGGATACAGAGGAAGTAGGGACATATTATATGGACCCCTTCCGAAAGCCTCTGGCTCAACATCAACAACCTCACCCTCTAGAGGTGGAACCTATACATCAGAATTATTAGTAAGAGGTGAAACCGATGCAACAGGATCATCAAGGGAAGGTGGCACCAGTGCATCCCGACGCTTGCGAGAGGATGAAGGAAGTGATGCGTCAGCTGATGCATCCCATGGTTTGCGGTAGGAAGAAGTAGAAGGTGGAATGGGCTGAGATTTAGATTGAGTGGCCTGAGGTAAAGGACGAGTCCCAGAGTGGACTGAATCTCTGGAGTAGACTGTTCCCCAACACTCGACGCCTCAACCTAACTAGAGGTACTTGTTGCCTCCGGAACCATCTGGCTTTGCTCCCGCCAAACAGATGCGTGCTGGAAAAGTCGTCCATGCTTCAGTCGGTCGACTCTGTCAGCTATTATGCCTGCAAGGTAAAATTAGTCGTACAATGAGTTTATGCAAATGAATATCACAAACAAGAAAATTATAAAACAAAAAGAATAAAAAATAGACTAAGGAAAATCTAGAGATATATCTAAGGAAACATTCCACACATGTATCTCCGAAATCCCTTAGAGTACATGAAACATTGAATTTTTTTGGATATGTATCTCTGGGATTATTGAATTTTTTTGGATATGTATCTCTGGGATTTTTTGAAACTCAGAGGTTGCGACAATAACGTCCTTTGCCCCTTAGAATGTGAAATTTGAAGTCTTGATCGTACATTTGAGCCAAAAAACAATACATACACTTACTCTAAACTATGTTTCAGCTGATTTCTAATCATTTCCACACCTAACAATGGATTCTAACTTGTTTACAACAAAACTCGAATATTTACCAAAAACTCGAAAAACTTACCCGAAATTTATGATTTGGAAGACGTTGAATGATGAACTGGATGATGCTTGATGATTACTTGAGTCTCGGACGAATGAAATCAAATTTGGTGAACTTGGAGAAATTTGGGAATGAGAGAGTGGAAGAGTTTTGTAAATGAAAATAGAAAGTATGGGAGGAGAAGAATCTGGCGCGATAATAATCTCCAAATTGTTCTGTAGATATATCTCCGGAATATTTCAACGTTCAATTGGGTTTTGGTGCGTCCGGAGATATATCTACGCAATAGTTTAACGTTTAATTGAAACTTAGTGCGTCCGGAGATATATCTCTGGAATCAATGGGGCATATGTGGAAAGTCACATGGTGTGGAAGAAGTCCATATGGTGCAAAAAGAAATGCTCTAAATAATAAATTCAAATATGTAATCATCATTTTAGTATGTTAGTTTGTTGGGTTAATAGATAATTTTCCCCTGCCATTTGGGAGAAATTTGAAAAATCCCCCTGTAAAAAAAAATTTAGATTCCCACTCAAACATTTGAAGATTCCACTGATTCAGTCCCTCATTAAATCAACTCATCAAATTATCTGACGTGGCATTGCCATTGTGCAACACCTTTATTATTTTCAATTTATTTAATAACCATGTGTAATTTATTTTCATTTAAGAGGAATTACACACGTAATATATTTTGAACCCTAAATCATAAATCAAATGTATGCAATTGTTGTTTGTCTTCTCCCTTATTTGAACTACCATCTGCAGGCGTCTCCCATCTTTGCATTCCGTTTTATTTGTGCCTTCATTCTCCAATCCTACGTGTGCGATCAATGGCAAAAAGTTCAAAGAATATCATGTCCTCTAATGGTATAATCACTCCCAAATGTGGACACGATATTTCAATGAAGGTGTTCATTTCAAAGTCTACTGTAAATCCTGGTAGAAAATATTTGAAGTACAAAATTTGGGGGAAACAAGAAGATTGCCAGTTATTT